GGGCGGGATCAGAGTAGGGTGACCAGATGTCCCGATTTTATAGGGACAGTCCCGATTTTTGGGTCTTTTTCTTATACAGGCTCCTATTACCCCCCCACCCTCGTCCCGATTTTTCACATTTGCTGTCTGGTCACCCTAGGTCAGAGCCAGCGCCCCGCCCCCAGAGGGGAGAGGCCCCAGGTCCCATTTCCTGCCCAGTACCTGTGATGGGAGGCTTCTTGTACTGGGCGCTCTTCAGATGCTCCTCCACCAGCTTGGGCGTGACACAGATGACGTGCTGCCCCTTCCAATACTTCACCATGTTGAGGGACTGCAGCGTGCTGATGATGTCGTTCTGAGTGATGCTGGTCATCTGGCTGCACGAGAAAGGGGGGCAGAGGCGTTGGCAGCACCCACGGCCTGCACCAGGGTGGGGCTGAGTGCTAAGCAGGGAGGGCTGGTTCAAGGCTTGGATGGGAGACCACAGCTGTGGGTGTGGGGCTCAGTCAGGGGTATGAGCCCCTCGCAGGCAGAGCTGTCCCCAGTGCAGCACTAGGGGGCGCTGCAGAGAGTGGGGCAGGGGCTCAACAGGGGGCGCTCTCCCCTCACAGCCAGTGCTGGCCCCAATGCGGCACTAAAGGGCTCAACGGGGGGTGCTCTCCAATCCAGGTCCCTGGTGCAGTCTGCCCCCCAGCCCCGCTCCCTCGCTCACCTGAGGTCTTTAATGGACAGGGTCCCTCGGAAGTCCCGCAGGATCTCCAGCAGCACCCAGGACCAGTAGCTCCGGTAGCTCAGCTTGCCCAGGTCCGAGAGGGGCTTCTCTGGGGAGCCCACCGTGCTTTCCAGCTTAGACAGCTCATAGCCTACGGGCATGAAGAAGGGGGTGGGGAGAGATCAGAGCCCCCAGCCTGAGCGTGCAGGGACCCTACGCCATTCCCCTCCGGGAACTGTGTGTGCAATGAGGTTGGGGGGAGAGGGGCATCTCAGGACAGAAATCATCCCCACCCTGTGCTGCTGGGATCTCCTATAGGGGGCAGTAGGGAGTTCACTCCTTGGCTGCCCAAGAGGGAAGCCAGTTACTCCCATCCGAGAACGTACCAATTCATTGCACACATGGCCAATAGCTCAACAAAGGCAGACACCAGGGCTACTCACTGAAAGCGATGAGAAACTTCCCATAGCCCCGTCTTTGGTAGGGGGGCAGGGTGAGGATACAGGCCACGTTGTTCCCATCTGGAGACTCCTTCTCCTGAGCACAAAGAATGCACAGACACTGGGTTACTGCAGAGCCCCAACGGAGCTCCTAGGAGTGGGGGAGGACAGGGCAGCGTACCGAGGGGGGGGGGGAGAGGCTGGGCACAGACTGGCACAGGAGGGGGAAACCAGCGTTCCACATCTGGGCTCAGAAATGACTCACATCTGTCCAAAATTGCTGCAGAATGGGGGAGGACTGGTGCAAACTGACAAAAGGTTGTTCCGATTCCCAGTCCGCTGTTCTAAGCGCTCGACTCCCATCCCAGAACTGGGGATGGGACCCAGGAGCCCTGGCTCCCAGCCCTCCTGCTCTAACCCACTAGACTCCACTTCCCTGCCAGAGCTGGGGAAAGAAACCAGAAAGAACCCAGCTCCCAGCCCTGAGATTGCTGGCCTCTCAGCGTGGGCTTCAGGCCATTACCTTGGAGAAGTAGCCGACGATGTGGGCACCCTGCCTGTCGACCTCGGTGAGGATGTAGAAAACAAAGGGCTCAACATCAAAGTAGAGGGTCTTGTGGTCTAGGAAGAGCTTGGCCAGGAGACACAGGTTCTGGCAGTAAATCTGAGCAGGGGCGAGAAAAGCAGCCATCAGACAGCACAGGAGTCGCCCGGCTTGGGGCACCACAGACAAGCAGCGAGCCACAGGGAAGGAGTGGGAGCCCGGAACGGGGGAGCCCTGGGGAGCAGACCGCTGGGGACGATCCTGTCCTGAGTAGGGACGGGTTAGGTGGGCCTGATGGAGCGACTCCATCTCTGCTGGGGAACAGAATGTCGGGGTGCTCCTGCCCCAGGTGGGGAGAGGCTAGACAGGCCTGGATGGGGAGTTCTGATCTACAGCCCTGCAGCCTTTGTTTGGACAGAGACATGCCGGGCTCCTCAGAGGAGGACAAAGGCACCGTGGTAGCAGGGAATTCCCCAGTGGCCACACATGGGATGGCCAGCAGCACCGCCTCACCTTGTGATCTTTGCCGTCCACTTCATAGACAGAGATGTTGTTCTTCCTGTAGATCTCCTTCCCTGGGGGCTGTCTCCACTGGCACTGGCCCTGAGACAGAGAAACTCTCAGACGCTGGCCAAGCCAACACAGTACTGCCAGGGCCCCTCAATCCCGACACGCAGCCCCCTGCTAGCCCAGCCCTAGGTCAGTTCCCCCACCCAAAGCTTTGCCAGGGCCCCTCAATCCCAACCCCCCGCCTACTCTCCCAGCCCTGGGCCTCCGCTGCCCCCGCCCCCAACAGATACGCCATTGCCCCTCAACTCCAACCCACTGCCCTGGGCTCCCCACCTCCACAGCTCCGACAATACTGGGACTTGGTCCTTACTTACTAGGTGGAACCTGTAGCTCTTCTCGAACTTCATGTATTTCAGGCAGTACTCGCAGATCCAGAGTTTGGGCTGCTTCCCATAATCCTCTGGAAAGGGTGAGAAATACCAGGCGTCGATCTCATAGTGGCCGATGTGGATCTTATCTACGTATTTCACCTTGGTGATCTGGGAGTGCGGAGAGGGAGGGAGGACACTCTAGGTTAGCGATCAGAGCAAGGAGACAGAGTCCCAATCATTTAGATGCCAGGCCATGCCAATGTCCCAAGGGCACTCACCGCCTCATGCTCCTTCTCCAGGGCAGCTGTGGTGGGATCCATCTCTGCGTAGGTCTGTGGGAAAACAGCAGAATATCAGGCAACTTCCAGTGCTGTAACACAGACTTTAGTTGAGTCCTCACTGAACCTTCCACCCCAGCCCCTGCAGCACAGCGCCCCCTAGCACGGCAGAGGGGCCAGCACTGACTGCAAGGGGAGAGCACTCCTTACTGAGCCCCCCAACCCCGATCCCTGCCACACAGCATCCCCGGATGTATTTACCTTCTGAACATGGTTGATCTCGTCATGTTTGCGCTTCTGGTTGCGGGTGATCTTACGCTCGGGTTGCTCTGACAGCTCGTTCATGTACTGGTCTGTGTTTTTCTGCACCGCATCTTTGACGGTCTTGGTGAGGGCCAGCCGGTTCTTATCTACCCACTCATCCAGGCGCCTGTTGACTGTGGTTAGGATGGGACAGGATGGAACCTTGAACAAGTCTATCCAGCCTCACTCTGTAGAGTGACTTTCTCACTATGTCCCCAAACACTCAACATCTGGTCACTGAAACCAAGAAGTCCTGATCCCCAGGTGTTTTAGCCCTCTAGAAACCACACCCCTCCCAAAGCCAGGCAATGTAGACATACCCTTAGTTATCAGGTGCTACAGAAGGGCAAAGTCCTCTTTGCCTCAAGGAAATCCTGTAATGGGGAGTTCTGCAGGCTAATTCTCCATCAATTGGGGAGGGTATGTGTGAGAAACTCATTTTAAAGGTGAAAATGAGGCAGTTACTGAACATAAACTACGGTGGGAAAAGAATGAGCACCACCACAATCCTAGGCGCTACTGTAGTGCGCCTAACAAATAGCCGCCTACATGAATCCCTCTCCCCAGGAACAGAACCCAGGGCTGCACTCACATCCGGCATAGTGTACGTAGTATTCCTCCCGAGCCTCCTGCTCGTTGAGTCGTGACTGGATTACCTCGGCCGAGTCTGCAAGGCAATCACCAGGTTAGTGCCAGCCTAGATGCTTGTGGGGAGCAGGAACAGGTTAGGTGCAATGCCCTGGAAAATGATAACCTCGTTCCGCAGAAGGATAACCAAACACTTTGCTAAGGGCATGTCCTCCGGGGGGGGGGGGGGAAGAGCATTCTTTCCCCCCCAGGAGATTGGTGCTGCTTTGAGCAGGGGGTTGGACTAGATGACCTCCTGAGGTCCCTTCCACCCCTGATATTCTATGATTCTTACTGCGGAACAAGAGCGTCCACCCATGGAGCTAGCATGAAATAATGGCTGTGCTTTAAATTTACACTCTGGCTTATTTTGCAATAGCTTCCCCACAAAATCTCTGTGCAGACAGGTCCTAAATCTCACAACTAATTGAAGCAGGGGAAGTTTAAGGTCCGTTTATACTGGTGTAGTGAAGCAGAGGTGGGTCTGGGATGCACTGTGGGGAAGGCCTTATGCCAGGTCCTGTGGGCACACGGCTGGGTACAGGGGGTGGGAAGGTCCGACGGCAGGTGGTACTGGGGAACAGAGGGATCAGCGAGAGGTATCACAAGAGGAGCTGGTCTCTCACCCCAGGTCCCCTCTGTGCGCCAGCACAGGGGCGGGGAGAGCTGGAGGACGAAGGGGGAGGGTTGGAGGTCCCGGC